AACCTTCAGCTTTACAGAACTATTCAAGGCAAAATTAGGTCTGCTAGGTGACAGTGAGGATGATAGCTATTTGATTGCTTTCCTTCTAAAAGTGAGTTGTTTTCTTTGATTAAATATTTGTACTGTACCTTGATTTATTAGTAAAGGGTAACACAAAAAGGTTCTCTTTCTTAGCTCATGGAAGATACAAGGGCAGATTTTACAATGACTTTTCGGCAGCTCAGTGAGATTTCAGAAGACCACCTCAAGGATCTCAGCATTCCTAAGGTACTAATGCATCACTGTTAAGAGAAAATGGCCTTTCTTTTAAAACAATGGATTATGAAAGTGGAATTGGTAGAGGATGCAGACTGAAATTATGTGAAGATCTGGCTGGATACTAGTTGTTTTTTAATGTGTGTTTGATTTTTAGAAAGAGAGCTGAATTGGAACAGCTGCCTGCTCCAATGTCGATCTTTCTTGGTTTCCATGGTAGCAAAGCATGTATGACTCCGATAGGTTTCCTTTCGAAATGGAGACCAAACACTGAGTGGAAGGAAAAGCAAATGCCTAAGGGGTTGAGAGTTTCTTTATGTTATCACAGAAGATTCCAGGATGTACTGATCTCTTGCCTGTTCTTGTTCCATATGCCTGACTAACTGTCTATAGATTTGCCTGAATGCTGGATAGAGTCTACCACACACATTGCTACTATTAACAATAATTTAGCATCCACTTGTTATTGAGAAGCCAGAATTGTTGCAATGACTTCCCTACAAAGGCTGTTTTCTCTATGAGCTTATCACCACCAGGATGCAGCCTGGCACAGTCAGTATTATTTTATGTGTTTTGTTTGAGCAGTTGAACAAACTCACTGTCCTCCATGCCAACTAAGAAAGAGGGTTTTAATTTCAGGAAAAATCCTAACCCTGATCCAGTCTGTTCAAATGCTGCTGTCTTATGTGCAGAGAAGTATTTGGCCAATGGCGTGTGCTTGGATATAGTTCTTTCCAGAGGCAACCAGTTACCCGGATCCAGCATAGATATTGTAAATTCATCTTTTATGCAAGAAATGGTCAAAACAAGTTTTTTCCCCACTCCTGCATTCTAACACATTAAACTTGAAAGCTTCCCTTCTAGTCAGGCTTCCAAAATCTTTATGATACTTATTCTGAAAAACTTCCTTTGCTTTTTTTTTTTTGGTCTAGTTGATTTCTAGGATTATTACGCAAGTACAAGCCAGTTTTACGGCTCAAGATTACACAACTTTTCCTTAGCTTCTGATATTCTTGCTTTCTACTTTAGATCTCATTTCTTCTGTAAGCTGTGAAGACAATAGTACTCAAATTGATTAACACCAACTTCTAGTTTGGATGTAGAAAATTGAGAGCCTAAGATACATGTTCCCTTCTCTAGTCTGATCTGTGTTGTTGTGTGTTCAATTTTAAGTATCAAATATTTTGGAGGCGTTTGAGAATACTTTCTATAAGAAGAAAATTTAAAATTCTAACTTGCTTTGCCTCACCTTGTTAATAGGACAAATGGAAATCCAAGAGGGGGTAGGAATTTGTGGTTGATGTTCATAAGAGGTTTTTTGTCGTCTTATCTCTGAAATAGGAGTGGGCAACCTTTGGGCAGCATAAATCCCTCAGGGGCTATCTATGTTTCTCTGCCTGCTTCCTCTATCTTTCCAGGGAAGAAGATCAGTACTGCTGTGTTTCTCACTGCTACCTTCGGTGAGAATGCAGGAATATGAGCTATTTCCTCGAGAGAAGGATGGCCATGAACCCAAGAAATGAGCTACAGATTGCTTGCATGTGTATGTGTGCCAGAAACTTTTATGCATGAACATACTGACAAGTGCAGTCCTTGAAGGGCTGATCCAGCATCTGATACAACTCTAGTACCCCAAAGACTGCCCATCTCTTTGGCAAAGTCTTGAGATACCCTTCCCTAACCTTGATATGTGGACCCACATGGCCTTTGCTGAGAATTCTAGAAATTGAAGTACCTGGAGTGCACCAAGGTTGGGAAGGAAATTCTTAAGTTATCATTTTGATCACTTTATGGGATGAGGTGCAGTGTCCCAAGTCCAGCAGGGAATTGTATGACTCTCACTTTTTTAGTGAATATTTGACCCTGCAATCTCATACATGTGTATTCTGGAATATTTAAAACTGCATTGACAGGTGTAAGAATAGCTGTGTTTTACCACAGTAAGTGTTCAATTAATTATTTCCTTGTAGGAATTTTGGGCTTTGCAAGATGTAGCTAAACACAAGTACTTTTCAAGCTGGATTGACATGTACCTCTTGAGATTAAAAAGGTAAATACAGTGGGTTTAATTTACTGTAATTATAAATACATGTTAAAGAAAAGGAAAATTAATTTCACTAGACTTTTTCCATGCAACTCTTTCAGTTATTTATGAGGGTCTGAGTTCAGTTATTCAGTGGTTAGATAGCAACATTTAAGATAATTTTAAATAAGAACAACAGAATTAATGAGAGATGTGCAAACCATTCTGTGCAGAGCATTCCATAACCAGATTAGTCAATATTGAGCCATCTATGGTTGGATTAAAGTACAGACTGGAGCTTGTGTGTTTAATCTGTGCATAGTCCTAGAGCACATGTGTTTTAGCAAGAGTGTTCCAGGATGGGAGACAGGGAGGAAAAGGAAGAGTGGGGATGGTGGTGAGTAGAGTGGGTTATGTCTAAGGCAGCAGAAGGAGGGAAGAGAGGAGCAGCATTCAACAAGCTTGTCCTACCTGCCCCATTAGACTCCTCCAGATTTGCCTGGATCAACCTATATGATCTGAGATTCACTTTGGCTGAATCATGACTCAGTTAGAATGGTCTGGTCAAACTTATGTTCACTTCATGCATGGAACAAATCACATTTTTCACTTTATGCATCCCCTCCAAATACCATGTTGCAAAATGGTAACTGCACAATACCTACTTATTGTTGAGGGGGTGTCTATTCCTAAGAATCATTGTCTCTGAATCAGCCTAGATAATCCATATAAAACAATAGTCTCAAACTGAATGTCTTGCATCCGTTGTTTTTATGTGCTGTATAGGAATATGGGTGATTCAGACTCTGAAAGAAGCAGAAGAATGAGCAGTGAGTATAGTCATAATTTGTTTAATCATTCAAAATAGTTTGTTGTCTTCTTATAGATTCAGCTTCTAAATACCTGCATGTTCAATAAAATAGACCTGTTACAAAGTTTATTGTTACGCTTGATCTTAGCCAAAAGGCTTAGAGGCAAGAAATTTTTTATTCTTTTTATTTAGAGCAGACACAGGTTGGAGAGCAATGCAAAGTTTCACTGTAACAATTTAGAGACTAATTTTGATCTTTCTGTATGTGCAATTTTCTGTGTTAGACCTTGTGGCTCAAAATACAAAAACAACCAGACAGAGGCCCCGTCTACTACACCGATGCTGGAAACATGCCAAGGAGATCTAAGTGGCAGTTTTCTCCTGCTTCCTTTTTTTTTCCCTTGAAAAAACAGCAGTTGTATCTACACATGGCACAGTTGGGAACAAACGTGCCCTATCCCAAAGTGGCATTCTCCCCAGGTTTGTGCCTGATACTCAAGTCACTGCTCCTTTGGCAACAGAGCATAGTCCCACCTGAACAGCCCCATGTTACCAGAAAAAAGGCAGAGAGCAATGGCGCACCAGGACCCCTGCAACCCACCAGTTGCTTCTAAAGCACCATAGACCTAAGCTGCATTTTCTGTCTGTTGTTATTCTCATTGACTGCGCTCTCAAAGGCACAGTACTTCCAGCTGAGCAAAGGCTGCAGGGGCAGGAAGTGTGGCTGACAATCAGCCTCTCCAGTGAAGAAGCAGAGCGCAAGAGGAGTGTGCCCGAAGGGGCATGCCTCTCAGGCCTGGAAAAGAAGCTGGTTGCCAGGGGTTGCTGACCATCTTGAGACCTGTGTGCTTGCCTATGCAGCAAAGGTGTGAAAGGTCTGGAAACGTCTTCAGCAACAAAGAAAGTGCTTTCCTCCTGTGCGGTAGACCTCAGAACTGAGGTGTGGTATCTTTTTCTCCTGAGCCATTTTTTTCCTAGCAAAGAGAAATCATGTCATGGGAAGACGCAGAAGATTGCAGATGAACGATGACCATGATTCTGTCAATGGGAAGGTGGTGGCACAGTAAAAGCTGCTTCTGGAAGCATGTGCAGCATATTGGGGATGAGCAAAGACATGTTCTTGAAGACCCCAGGAGTTAAACTTGATATATTTGATAAGAATGTCCACTGATCCCCCAGTTCAGCTGAAGTTGTTGGAATTGACAGTAATTTGCTGTTCACCTTAAAATATATTAGAGAGCCTTACACTCCACACACACACACACATACACATGTACAACATGGAGGCTATAGCAAAGCTGATTCTTTAACATTTTTTGGATTAGATTTATATCCTGCCTTTCCTCTGAGAGTCCAAGTATCTTATGACTAATTATGAAGTGGGTGATCTTCAAACTTATTTTCCAGGAATAGAAAACAAACTCTGTAGGGTTTGCTTAAAGGAAGATTTGGAAATCTGTGGTAACTTAGAACATTTCTCAAAGTGTGGATGCCAACCCCCAAGGGAATTGTAAAATAATAAATAGGGGGTTGTCAGAGTGTAACTTCTTCAAAATGCTTTTCCAGCCAGATTACCAGTTTGATTCAAAAATATACTGAACACAGTATACACTGAGCCCTGTATGAAGCCTG